TTTATTACCAGGATAAATGTCATGTACTGTCGACCTGTATTGTTTACATTCTGAGTTTGCACATGCATAATTGCACATTGACTGCTGACTACTGCACACGCAGCTCCCGTGTGTAGCATACATTCTCATATTATATTCTTATATATTTTTATTATATCTCTGCATTTGCTGCTTTAAAGTGCCTTAGATTTTGTGTTATTTATCCATCTACTTTATATTTCATTTGTATTATGTGGCATTCATGTGGATGGCAAAGTAAGAATTTCATTGTACAGGGAAACACGTTTCCTAACTGTGCATATGACAAACACTTTGACCTGATGCTCTGCAATGGCTGTTCCTTCCAACTGTTTCATTGTCCATTTTGTGTCCAAGCTTAATGACATTTGCACAATCATTGTGTTCATCTCATCCTTCAGCTACAAAGAACTTACACTATTTCTTCTCATCATTCAGCTGTTTCAGCAATTGATTTCAGGCATTTTCAGGGCGATCCTAAGGATGATTCATTTCAATACCCACACAGTAGTAGTCCTCAGGGTGTGACTACTCTCTCTCTCTCTCTCTCTCTCTCTCACACACACGCAACCACACCACTTATTTTACTATTATTGGCACCGATGAGAATATTTTTATATCTTAATAAGTTCAGCATACTTTCAGCTAGAAAAGCCATTCAGGTATCACAATGTTCAGTTCTTCAAGGACATTCCTGACTGTATTTCTTCAAAAAAAAGATTATTCAGCAAAAAACTTCAGCCATTTCTTCTCATCCTTCAGCTGTTTCAGCAATTGATTTCAGGCATTTTCAGGGTGATTCTTCAGCATATCAGCATCCATACGCATTTTCGACAGGAAATGCATTTCTCTAGTTTTTGTATTTTTTGGAGATCTTTTTTTTGTTTAAATAAATTGTAATCCTCTAATAAGTTTAACTTGACACTAAACCTCTCAGACTGCATCTGTTTACTATTTTTTTTCAACAAACACTATACAGTAGTCACTCTATTAAATGCACAGTATGTAAAGACTGCATCATCTTGTCAGACACCCAAAATCATAAGAATATGGCATGTATTTGAAGTGTAAAAATATTTAGTACATGTTAAAATGATCCATCCATTCATCTATCTGGGACTGGGTCGCTGGGGCAGTAGCCTGAGCAGAGCCTCCCAGACTTCCCTCTCCCCACACACCTCCTCTAGCTCCTCAGGAGCAACCCCAAGGCGTTCCCAGGCCAGCCGGGAGACAGTCTCTCCACTGTGTCCTGGATCTGCCCCGAGGCCTTCTCCTGGAGGGATATGCCCAGAATACCTCCCCAGGGAGGTGTCCAGGGGGCATCCTAAACAGGTCTTACAACTCAGCTCCTTCTTCACCACAACGGACCGGTACAGAGACCGCATTACTGAGGATGCCGCACTGATCCATCTGTCAACCTGCTGCTCCATTTTTCCCTCACTCATGAACAAGACCCAGGGATACTTAAACTCCTCCACTTGAGGGAGCAACTTGCCCTGAACACAAACAACCTGGAGAGAGCAATCCACCTTTTTCCGACTGAGAACCATGGCCTCAGATTTGGAGGTGCTAATTCTCATCCCGTCGATGAGCCTAACCAGGCCCCATGGATATAGGCCTGGCCACCAGGCACTTGCACGTGAGCCCCTTCCCCAGGCCTGGCTCCAGGGCGGGGCCCCGGTGACCCCATATCAGGCGGGGTAAACATGGGCCTTGATTTTTCGTTCATCATAAGTGGCCTGTGAACCGGGATCATTCAGGCACTCAATCCCCTCCACCATGCTAAGGTAGTTCCAGGGAGGGGTAAAATGATCCTATAATATAAACTGTTTCTGAGCAATGTTTCAATTATAAACCTGTTTCCAACTCAGCTCCTGTGAAAGATTAAACCTCTTCTTTCCATTGTGAAACATTTGGAGACTCAAACTGAAATAACTATTTGTAGCTAGGAGGAAAACTGTGTAAGGTTTTAGACTGGCCAAGTACATCATCAGACCTTAACACATGTGTATTTCACTTGCTGAAAAGGAGACTGGAGAAACTCCTCAAAGCAAATAACTGATAGAGGCTGTAAATATCATGAAATAAAAGCTGAAATTCTGAACTTTGATCTCCTGTTCAGCTCTTGATCATAAACACAAAAGTCTTCAGTGGATGGCAAACACAAATGAATGGGTCCCACCCTTCCAATACTTTAAGGGGACTGCAGGAGGGTAGACAGACATTGACCCGTCCCTGAACAGGAGAACACAAACCATGCCAGCACACTGCACCCCACAGCGTAGCAGAGCCACCGTCGTTAGGGGCCGGTCATTCAAGTTTTTCTTGTGTCCACCTGTGTGGACATACATCAGTGAGGTGACTGACTCCAGCTTAAGTGTGTACAGAGATTTTTATTTGGAATATTTTTTAAGTATACAACATAAATATAAGCATTACAATAATGTTCTCAGAGCCATACGTGAACAGGGTTCAGTTAAAACAACAACCATACAGTACCAGGCTGAGACCAAGCCAGAGCCATATATCAGGAGGGTTAGGTCATTTCATGGTCTAACCGTGGTTCTGATGGTGGAACGTTAAAATCGTCCAACATGATTGTCTCTCTCTCTGTGCTTCACAAGAAAAACGATGACACGGACACAGAAAACAACTGAAGGAATAAATATTCTTTTCCCTGCTTCCTCCTGCTCTATGTACATTATTAACAGCTCACCTCAGTACAAATCAAAATCAGTTGTTGAGGAGAGAACACGACAAAAACCACAACATGAAGGGTTCCAGGGTTCAAACAGAAAGCTGATCCATCAAACACCACAGAAGAAGACAGATGGACAAATATGGACTCAACATTCTATGTTTCTCTATGGTAATACAAAAACAAGAGAATCTCAAGTCACACACACTTTGCTCAGCTTTTGAACATATCACAGTCATCACAGGAAACTGAGCAGTCAATCTGTGATATGGTGTAAAGCTCTGAGGGAAAAAAAACACAAGTGGACCTTGAGGTGGTTTGTCAGGACAAAAACAAACTCTTAATGTTTATTCCTCACGAGTTGAAGTAGGACTACCATTAGTGATTAATTTATAACCATATTTCATCATGGGTTCTTTTACGTAGGTGTCCCACAAAGCTCAATTCTTGGTCCACTTGTGTTCTCATTTTGGTGTCTTGTGGCCACCAAGCTAATCTTGGTGACCCCTGTACACCGACAACATCCTGCTGTATGTTTAAGACTACATTCCCATCACAGATCTTAATGCTCAATTTGATGTTTTAACCAGGTCCGATCTTCACATCCATGTGTGTGACAGTGCCATGTACCCAGCTCCGGTGTGAACACCACAGAGCTCCTAAACTGCCACACAGGTACAGATTTAACTGAAATGTGAGCCATATGTGTACCAGAATAATAACCACGTCATGTGTACGGTGGCCACTGGGAAGAAAAACTTTATATATGGGAAATTTCAGCTGTAATGTGGATGGAGCCAAACACAAATCAAAGCTGTCACAATAAAACAATGTTTTACTGTAAATAAAAAAAAAACAATAAAAAAAAAAAAGTAACAATAACAATTGCGGCAGCACAGTGGCACAGTGGTTAGCGCTTAAACCCAGTGTAAAATTTCTTTGGATCTCCTTTCTTTCAAAATAAGAGCCCTCCTGTCAAATACATTTGACAGGTTTTGGCAATTTTTTACAAAATAAATGAGAACAACAATTGGCTATTAAAATTGTTTCCTATTGAACAGCTTATTAATTAATCACCTGATCAATTCAGCAACTTACTTACAGACCTATGATGACATGCTGCTCCATGACCAATCAAATGGACCTTTAAAATTGTTAAAATTAAAGTTGTTTAACTGATCAAGAACATTTTAAAGATTAACCACCAGGTTTCACTTTTGAATTATTACTTTATTTAGAGGACCTAAGTCAAAGACAACAGGACTTTGTACTTGGGCTCATCCCCTCAGTCAGAACTGAAGATGCCTACAGTTGAGTGCAAAAGTTTACATCCACTCACTTTGAAATGGCAAAAAGAGTCGATTTTTTTCCCATCAACATAATATTTAATGCACATTCAGTTGGTACAACTGTTCATCAACAGAAGGAACAAGAATCTTCAGGGAGTGTAAAAAACAAAGTTAGTGAAATAATGAAAATCCTATAAATATTTACATTGCCATTTATGAAATGTTCTCCAACAGTCTGTATGTCCTTATTAAACCGCCTCCAACTTCTCTGGGTTCCCTCTGAGCAGCACTTGGATCCTTTCAGGTGTAATTTTAGCACATTCCTCATGGAAGACTTGCTCTAAGCTAACTTTGCATGATATGATGTTCATTATTTTACTATAACCATTTTTTATACACTACCTGACCATTCTTTTGTTGTGTCCATTGATGAAGGAACAGTTGTACCAGCTGGATGTGCTTTAAGTATTATTTTGTTGAGAACAAAATTGTTTGACTATTTCTGTATATGGACATTAGAAACCTGACTGAACACGACCTGATCGCTGAGGACGAGGACCATCACAGACATAGTCACTCCGAGTCTCATCCTCATGTTCAGTGTCATGATGCTGTAGATCAGAGGTTTTCAAACTGAGGCACCTCCCAGAACTGACAATTGCACATTGCAGTTTGGCTGCTGGTTTAGCTGACAATTTGCATTGGAATCACACTTTCTCTGAGTTAAACCAGTGTTGGAGCAATGCCTTACACAATACCACTTTGCCTAATACAGGAATGTAACTCGTCATTAAGTTTGGCCCTAGTGCCCTCCTCTGCTGATGCTGTGTGTGTTCTCTCCTTGCAGGTAGGGGCCCTGCCCAGAGGTGGCTATCTGATGACCGGTAGCACCTGGTAAGCCTTCTCAAGGCCCTAAAACATGTGCTGTGTTTTGCTTGAGTTACTGATAGGCTTTGGTTTCACATCCCTACATGCACCTTTGTACATCTCAGATGTTTTTTTTTTTCTTCAGAAAAAAAAAGTTTTTTGTACTTTCAGAATACCCATCCCAGAACTACACCAGAGTTGGTGTAGTTCAGGGCTTTGTCAGCCGGTTCTGTACCGGAAACAAATTCCTTGTGTGTAACATACTTGGCCAAAAAAAGGTGATTATCCTTATCCTTTTGCAAGAGTAGCACAATAGTAACTTAAAAAGTAAGGGTTAGTTACTGCCTTAGAAAGTAATATTGTAATTTAGCTGATTATTTTAAATGAACAGTAGTATAATTCAGGAACTACCCCAACACTGGTTGTGACACTTACCTGAGGATCTCATTATCTCTGATGTCTCTCCACAACAAACCTCTAGAAATCCCATGAGAGACCAGAGACTGCAAACCTGCCTGAGAATCTTCCTGCTACTAAGTTTCCTTCAGTGTCACAGAGATCCAGTGGCAGCTGTGTGGACGTCCACGGGGACACTGAACACGGGAGCTGCTCACTGCTTGCTCTGCTGTTGGTAGTGGGGACAACAGTAGTTATAGTTTTGTCTGAGGCACACAGTGTCAGAGTTTGACAACCCCTGCTCTAGTCGTTTCTACGTCAACAAAACATAGGTACTGCAATGGTGTTCAGATGCTCTCATGTTGTTACAGTTCCTGTTGTGTAAAGAAAATGATGAGTGGCATAGTTGGAATTCAGTGTGTCCATGCTCGTAGTCAGACAGGTCAATCAAACAAGGCAGTGCAAAAACCTCCTCCTCCTCCTCCTTAGTCAGTAGTAGACCTCTCCTCCCTCCTCCCGTCAGACTGCGTGCAGCATTATCACTGGGGGAGGAGGAGGATGACAAACGAGTGCTTTGGGCTGAAGCTAAGCAGAGTTGAGATACTCGAGGGCAACTTCATAACAGAACTTGTACTGTTCCTGTAGAGAGAGGACATCAGAGGTTAGAGAGAGGAAACGAGTCTGGTCTCAGCAAAAACATTTCCTCACTGACTCAACTTCAACTAACAGAAGAAATACCACATTAAAAACATGACAGAATAATGGAAGTGTGTTGAGAGTCTTGTGGTGTTACTTATGGGCTTGGGATCTTGCAGTTTTAGTCCAGGTAAAAGATGTCTTTGTGTGTTAGTTACCAGCAGGTCCACCATGTTTGGCTTGTTGTTCCTCAGCGTTTTAACAGCATGAAAGATGTCGACAGAGTGCTGCTGTCGCAACATCTCACAGACAATACTGATACTACAGAAAACACCACTACGACCTCCTCCGTTCCTGACAAGGAGACAAGGACACAAGAGGAGAGAAGAAAGCAAGAAGAGGACAACAAATAAACATTTAGAAGGGCACAGAAAGAGGAGAAGGAAACAAAAGAGACAAGGAAAGAAAAAAAACCAAAGGAGTTAGAAACCCTCTACAATTCCACTTTTCACCAGCAGATGGACACAAATCATTACTGATTAAAACTCGTGTGTACTATCTGTGTGTGTCCATGCAGCAGTATTGTCCTCAGTACTATCTTATGTATCTTACCAGCAGTGGACCACGGTGCGTCCCTCCCCGCCATCGTACTCCTCCTGCCATTTGTCCACCTGATGAACCAGTTTGAGGAAGGAACGCTTAGACACTGGCGTGTCCCGGTACATGGGCCAGCCCAGGAACTGGAACTGCTGCACCATACGGTACCCGTCCTGCGGCTGGAGGGGGGGACACAGGGAGGACAGAGGGGTCAAAACAAAGTCACTTTAGGACTCAGCCCCAGCTGAAGTTCTTCTGTCAGATGGTGGGATGAAACACACCCTAAGATCATTAATGGCAGGAGGAAAAACGAAGGTAAAGAGGGAAAGAAGTATAGACCTGGTGGGGAAGGAAGGGAGCAAAGAAAGGTCAAAAGGCAACAAAGGAGGTAAATGGTAGGAAAAGAAGGTGCCAAGGGAACAATGGGAGGGAGCGAAGGAGGGTAAACAGCTCCTTATGTAAATGTGAGGCGACATGGAGGAGAAGAGGTGTAAATCAAACGCACTGAAAGCTAAATCTGACCTGCTACTGTGAGTGGGTGGGGAGTGTCAGCAAGGCTGTAAAAATGGGCCTCAAAGAGCACAGAGATAAAGAGAAGGCATAGGAGAAAGAGGAAGTTCCAGGGGAGGTTGGAGAAGACAAAGGCAGAATGCTTAGAAAAGTTAAGCTTTTAATAAGATAATCATAACATGATTTATGTGTGTTTTGTTTGAAATAATCATTAGTGAATGTGTTAAATAAAATGTGAAATGGTTGTATTGAAAGGGTGAGGAAAAGTGATTTTACATCTAACAAAGTGAAAAGTACAGAATCACACAAGAGGAAGTAGACACGCATCCCTAAAATGAGGAACTGCAGGGGTGTGTGTAGGTGACAGAGAAGAGACACACAGCATACTGAGGAAGTAACAAAAATGATGGTTTCAAGCCTAAAATTAAAGATTTGACTGATAATTGTTTGATCAATGTCTAATCAATGATAATTCATGTTTAGTCAAAGTAAAATATTCAAAATATAAAGATTTGTGTTTTGACTTTAAGGCATTGATAGTTTTGTGTGAATGAAATCAGTGTGTAATTCTGATTGTTCTGTTAAAAAGCAATGATGGAATTTTGGTATTTCAGTCAGATGTGAGTTTCTTGTATTTTGGTTATGTATTCAGATGGTTTAGTTTTCTAGAAAAGACGAAGTAGAATCCAAGGCTGGATCACAGTGGGG